CGGCGCACATTACTTGCCAAGAACCCCTACACACGTCAACACTACACAAGCAATCATGAATTCATCCATGCTCCTCTTGCCGGACGCTGTGCGCACAGGTTCGCTCAAGGGAATAACGTCATCTGCCGCTGCCTGTAAACTTAAAGTTGTCGTGTCTATTCACATGCAGACATGCACACTCACAAGACGAGTGGGTTCCTCCACTGAAGGATGAAGTCATAGAGTTTCGTGCACAACCGCATCCAGGTACGGGAGGCTGGCTTTTAATTGGTCATATGTCGGATCAGGGCCAAAGGCAAGCAATTCTTCTCTGAGCCTAGTTTGGACATCGGGGTGTCGTGATAGCTCGATCGGCGCCCACTGATCAACGCATGAATACAGTGCGTTTGCAATCCTTTTGACCTCCAAGTTGCTCTTCCATTTTGTTTCACGACATTATCAGCCGTACATGAATACCATCTACGCCTTCCAGCACGCCGCAGAACACTGACGTAAGCTCACATGCACATCCCGTTACCACTTCTCATTGCTCTCCTTTTCGTTCTTTCGTTTCAGTGCTATTATATGGCAACCACCTGTACTTTCATGAATTGGTCCCTATCCAAAATGGATCTAGGTATCATGACAATACGACAATAAAAACTACTGGAAATAAAATGGTTATATCGTTCTACCTGATGGTGACTTCACGGTACACCTCTACAGTGGCTCAAAAAAGTGTCCCAATGTTTGTAGCTTTTCATGTAATTGCTATATCATGTGTCAAGACGTGGGAATATGACTAAGCTATAGGGAAATGTCGGAAGGGTCTGCATCTCAGCTTCATTTCGGTTCCCTATGCCGTGGGAAAATAATGACATTATGTGAAGATATGAGTATTTTAATTTGATGACTCATTGGGACACTTTTTTGACTTTAAGTTTTACTAATGTAATCTCTATAATTCTAGTACTGTGTGTGACCTCCTTCTGCTCCAATCACTTCTGCCACTCTTCTAAACATATTCTCTATCAATTTTGGATATTCCTCTTTGGTGATTCCATCATACTCTGCTGTAACACTGTCTCATAGTTGGAATAGCCCCTATAGTGAATCTTGATATGCTACAAGTAATTTCTTGAGTGATTCTCAGGGGTATTCAATAGGGTTGATGTCTTGGGTCTATGTTGAACATGATAGAATAGTAATATCATGATTTGCAAGCTATTGGTGGCTGATTTAGAGGTATACTTAGGGTCATTGTCTTATCACAAAACAGTATCTTCTTCATTAACTCATAACTTCTGCATGCTTCTTAGCAGACACTCCTGTCAAATGAGTATTTACTACTCTGTATTCATCCTCCCCTTTGCTTCATAGAAGATTCCCACTCCATTTTATCTCATATAGTCCTATACCATCAAGTTTTGTCTTGAAACTTAAGGTGTTTATTTAACTTTTCTTTATCTTAATGATTGTCCTATCTATTTTAATATAAATTCCTTGCCATATGATCTCATTCTATTGATTTTAACCTTATCTAACTAGATAAACCTCTTTCAGCTATTAGCAGTCCAATATTTGTACTTGAAAGTAGCATCTTGTCTTTTCTTTTTATAGGTTGGAGACAGAGGAATCTGTTTTTCTTGATTATAGCTTTAAGATGGGCTGTCTTGAGAGTCTGTCTGACTATTTGAGTAGAGATAGTCATAGGAATGATGGAAATAATCAATTTAGTCACTTTATTAGCATCAGCAGTCTTTCCAATTAGAATATAGTGATTAAGAGATCTTAAGTCTTATAGAGCAACCTTCTAGATTGGCTACCAAATAACTTTAAGACCATAATATTACTATTCTATCATGTTCAGCATAGACCCAAGACATCAACCCTATTGAATACCCCTGAGAATCACTCAAGAAATTACTTGTAGCATATCAAGATTCACTATAGGGGCTATTCCAACTATGAGACAGTGTTACAGCAGAGTATGATGGAATCACCAAAGAGGAATATCCAAAATTGATAGAGAATATGTTTAGAAGAGTGGCAGAAGTGATTGGAGCAGAAGGAGGTCACACACAGTACTAGAATTATAGAGATTACATTAGTAAAACTTAAAGTCAAAAAAGTGTCCCAATGAGTCATCAAATTAAAATACTCATATCTTCACATAATGTCATTATTTTCCCACGGCATAGGGAACCGAAATGAAGCTGAGATGCAGACCTTTCCGACATTTCCCTATAGCTTAGTCATATTCCCACGTCTTGACACATGATATAGCAATTACATGAAAAGCTACAAACATTGGGACACTTTTTTGAGCCACTGTATATGCAAACGATATTCACTGTCCTCCTGTTACCCACTGTTGTCTCACCTTGCCCATGCTATTTTCACAGGAACCAATAGAACCTCTCGGTGACGGCAATCGTGCATTGCCTATTCTCATCGTGGCTGTGAAAGAGACATTGACAGAGCTCTCACTTTTCTTTTCCCGGCACACATACTAGCTAATGGGCTCGCGCTTGCCTTGAACGTGTCTTCTCTCCACAAAACCTATCTTGCGACGAATTCAACGATAAAATTATAAATACTAGCTGGCAACTACTGCGAGTACGAACAGCAGCTCTACATCGTCGATTCATCGAAGTCCAACTGCTCAAGAACCACTGTATTCCACAAATCACGTTTTATTCTCATCCTTACTACTCCTGTTGGACAGTGAAACGCAAACAGATTCCTTTGCGACTACTCTCAAGGGCTGCCAAGGTTTCGCTCTCTCGCACAGTTCTCGATTTCAGAACAGATCCTTTTGCTCATTGGTCAACCATGTGTCCCGTGTCAAAAGCCGTCGAGTTTCAAAAGGAAACGAAGAGAAATTGGTGGAAATATAGTGTACAAAAGTCTGCCTTTGTAATAAAGCAACGACCGAAGGTCACTGCTTGTATATTAGATGTCCAGACCTTCCCAAACACGGAATGAATTCAAAACTTAACATCTTCAACCTTTCTTGCTATACACAGGTAATATTCGCGTACAACTGATGGTTCTCCCATGTTTCCTCAGATCAAGCAAGGTACGTGGGATGAGGAAAAAAATGTACGACGCCAGCAGGATTTGAACCTGCGCTCGGAAACCGAAACAGATTTCTAATCTGTCGCCATAACCACTCGGCCATAGCGCCTTAACATATATCAGTTTGCTTGCACACACGAGCACACTCGTAAATGGGATGTACATAATATCATGTGACTTGCAAATGCAACCTGGCAATGTACTCGACTCTGAATTAACGTTCGATGATGCTGATCACGTCTTGGTGTCAAGACGTCAAGGCCTGCTGAGAAATATGTCGTGGTAAGTAATGATTTTGGACCTTGTTGAATGAAAGCTGAAACTATAAAACCTCAACTCTCCGGGTCAGCTGATCACTCAATTAGGACATGGTCTGACATGGTATACTACAAAGTCATGGAAGCAGGTCGTACTGGTGCTAGAACACACTGGCGTCATCTATGGCCGCATCCTCGCAAACACATCCTACGACAACATAGTACGAATATCATGCAACTTCGACAATGACCAGCCCATTGATCTGCCCCTCACTCGTAGTGTCCTGGTGTCCTTTTCACCAGATAGGTAATTATTAGCCGTTGCATGCAATGACAATGCACTGGCACACACCTTGAATGTTATTGCGAAGTTAAAATAAGCTTGCCTCGACGACCTTCTTTTGGACCAGCCCGACATGTCACTATTTGCTGTATGCGACACTTTTTATAAATGATTTCTCATGTAAGCTTATGCATTCTAGGCTGATGATACACGGTGTCCTACCTGATCATATCCACGATATGTGATCCCGATCCCACCCTTTCCACTGGCCTTGAAACCGTGACCAAGCGGTGTATATATCAACCTGCATGAGTGTCCTTCACCCCTCATGCCAAGAGCAAACATGTACGTTTCTCTCCTTCTCGGACGCTCGATTCTTCTTGGCTTCATCTTCTTGTTCACGTGTTCAAGCACCTCATGTCACGTAGAGGCATGCATGTGTAAGTACTGGAAGCTCAGGTGAAGCCGTGTCACATGAATTGAGATGTGCCAATTTATATCGGCCTGGCGATTCAGTATTTATGGCTGGCTCGGGATTTGCAGCCAGATACTTCTCCCTCCGCTATCATGTGGCTAGAATCGTCGTATAATCCAAGTTTATAAGTTATCGTGTACGGCACTTCCACGGACAAATCTCATGGGCTACCAAATATCCTGCTGGGACTCCCAGAGGCATGCATGTTTGTAAGCAAGTCCTCGAAGCATTTACTCATGCATTGTCACATCTACCACTGGCAGTACGTGCTTTTCGGGGTTTCAGATAAGTTTACTGACATTGTATCCATAGTGTGTATTGAAATGACGCATTACTGGGCTATATAGCTAGACTGGTGACGTTCTACCATCTGATACATTGGACCCTCGCCCAGGGCCAGTACTAACCCTAGAGGGTCTTGAATATATTCACACATTGATTCTGACTCAGAGCGCCACAGGGTCATCGTTTACTCTCAACGTCCTTCTCAACCGATTGAACACCGTCTTAGGGTCTGACTACGGTAGACTAATCAATTGGTTGTGTGCATTTCACTGAACCTGATCACATGTCTAACATAAGCAGTCAGAAAGGACCTTACGATGCCGAGAAAATGGATGGTCCTTGATGGTGCCTTCTAGACTGATTGGCCCTTGGCTTTATGCTCGAGTTTACATGTGATTTCCAGTATGTTGTTTCCAAGACGTCATCCAAACGCGCAAGCCCCTTGGATGCCAAGACTAACCGTTTTCATTTCCGCTAACCATATTTCCGTTCTTCTGGAGGAACCTTAGGCCAACCTTGGGCTAGCTAAAACTCATTAGCTTGACGGAGAACTGTCAATTTTGGACTGGACGTCCAGCTGACAGTGATGGCTGATTATTGGAACCCCGCCTCACATAACCGCTGAGGCCCTAGGTCTTGTCTATACGACAGGGTGAACGGGAGACATTGCATCGCGTGAGATGATCACCAAGAGATCAGCCACTACAATTGAATACATTTTTACAGAGCACTCGAACGCGAACATTGTCTGCGGTACATTGGTCTTCACGAAGATGATGGCACCAGCAGCTCTGAGTTGAGCAACGAGCTACAAATAATGATATAGAGAATGTGGGAATGTTGCAATAAGGACATACGCAAGCGTCTTTTTTGCCTGGGTTGTTGGCCCACGCGGTGAGACCAGTCGTCGTGTTGTATCCTTCAATCTGATCTACAGCAGGGTTCAGAAAGGGATCAGTCAAACATGGGGCGACGTACAATTATCCTTGACGCTGAATGGAACACCATGGAAAGGTCCCCGCAATGTCTTTGTAGTCGCAAATTCTGCGTCAAGCTCTTTTGCTCGTTTTCGGGCGTCCTCATATAAGACTGTGAGAGGTATCAGAATGGAAATACCGGAAGAAAAATGGAGAATCTACTCCCCTTCTGTAAGACAGTTCGCCTCGGCCTGGGCCATGGCAGATTGTGCAATGTATGCCTCAAGGACTCGAGAAGAGGTCCATTCTTCTTTGGCTATCCTTTGCACAATTTCGCTGGCTACAGAAGTCACGACACATGCGTCCCCGAATGGAACGCAGACTAACCCATTGCTTTGGTATAGACGTCATGGTCGTTCACCAAATAAGGACTAGCAAAACCCAGCGCCTTGTCTCTTGCATTCCGCTTTGAAGTGATGATGCTGTTTCTTTGTTCAGCGCTTCTCATGGTGGTAAAGATTTGAGAGCAGGGGGTGATAGATTCGTTCCAATGGCTTCTTCAATCTCTCGATCATCTCTAAATGCGTTCCTGTCAGTACAATCGAGGGGTTGATGTCGGCGTGATCTTTAAGGTTGCAGATGAGCGCGACGTCTGATAACAATGGACATGCAGAGGGATCAGTGATGAGAAGCAACACAGGATCGACGAGGTATTGCTTGTGCAAGTCTGAAAATCAGGTAAGTTACGCTAAATGAACAAGAAACACTTAACTATCGATGTATTTCTCACATCCGAATGGAATTTCAATGTCAATGACACGATCCTCGGCGTGGATTACCGCTGTGCAAGGTTCAGATAATACAACTTCTCTTTCAGGGTGACCAGTAAGAATACTCTGAGTCTCTGAGAGACCGTCAGTTGTCATGAAAACACCAAAAATTTGATAGCCACCGTTTCGTTTCCGATATCAGTCCCCTCGAGATGGAGTCTTTCCAGGTTAGGAAGTTGTTGGGTGTGGACGAGGTCGAAATCGCGTTCCAGGTGGGCGTCATCGAGGACTAGCTCCTTGAGCATCAAGTAGTAACCAGGTTTGCTGAATACTGTCCAAAGTCAAGCCTTCAACAGAGCCGTGTTGCCAAGAGCTTTACCGCGTAAAAGATTGCCTGAATGTAAATTTAGCCCATCTTCCTCGCACATCATAACTCACGCTCGAGAAAGCGGTACTGGACCTCCATACAGATTCGTTCGCGCACGGACAGCTTTACACTGCGCTATCCAGAGTGCGATGTTGGCGTGACATTCGCGCGCTATTTCCTTCAGAGGGTGAGGAGAAGACAACGGCAAACGTAGTATACAGACAACTGTTATTGTAATTGATTGTAAAACAGATGCGACGTCCAAAGGCGACCGGTCCGCTTGTATATGTTTAGTATTTAAGAGGGAGAACTCGGAGCAGGAGCGAAGGTAGACGTTTCCTGAAGGAAAAAAGAGGGACACCTGGGAAAGTCCTTGGAACGTCTTGATATGATACCGCAAGCGGATCGTGATGATGCAAAGTATAAGATAACAGTTTGATTCCACTATTATTGACAGGGCTCGTATGAATGAATTGGGTTGAAGAATGACTATGAACGCAGTGCAAAACGATGAGGGGAAATTCTGTGTCTCATTTCGAAGGTCCTCCAAAAAAGATGGGATCTCCAGGCTCAGAAGAATCTCAAGGACACTTCAGAATGCATGTAGAAGCTCTCCACCATGCCATCCCAGCACACTCCGACTTGGACTCAAACCCGACGACTTCCAAATAATGAAATCACCCTTCCCTGAGCCTATCAATATTTTACCCCACGAATATTTGACGGAGGTACCCAGACAACATAATCACCATAGGAAGATGATGGCGCTGGGGGTGAAGAGGATTTTACATCTGAAGACTTCGGTTTCACGAGAGAGAAACCAGATGGAAAAGGCTGTGTTGGTACATTGCTGATGTGACTCCAGTCACCAGACACAATGTCTGTCAGATTGGCGATACTTTCTAGAGATTGATTCAAGCGGTCAATACTGTTAAACTGAGGGTAGAAACTTGAATCTCACTATCGAGAACTTTCCAATTATCTTTACTTTCTGTTGCCACAAGTATGATAACATGGGAGGGGTCAACTGTCTCGATGGTGAAACTAGATGGGGTTGCCAGAAATACTTCCCCCCCAAACATCACCCTCTCTAGACTGGCTGCTGCCTCCCCTTTCTCAGCATCAGCCTTTAATGGCACGTTCCCATAAAACTTTACTGGGGTATCCTGTGAGGCGAAGGTGTACATCACTATATGAGCAAGCTCATGAATGATAGTGATCGTCAAGAACAGGCAAATGAGACTGCAGACAACCCAAGTACTAGATCAGATGTTTTGCTATATATTACAGAAGGATGAACTTACCTCTGATTTCTATTGGTAGTAGACGACCTCTGGAACAGCTCGTAGAGGGTGATACTTAACGAAAACTCAAGGGGTAAGGTTCGCCTCGTCTCGACAGACAATGCTTGCCAAGGAGGTATACTAGAAAGGTGCTGGTGGCGAGGGATAGTGGTGGGGTCTTGGGTTTCTGCATAGGAGTCCATGGTATGTACCCTGACGTCAGGAGGATAGGATCGCAAATACGTCGTGATTTGGTTCATCCTATCTAAAAGATCTTCTGCAGCCGGGCTATGTTCTCCAAAGGTCATTGTCGCTAAATGTCTCAGGCCATTCTTGCTGTTGAGAAGGACATCCCGTGCAGAGCTTAAGAGGTGTTGCATCTGGTCATTCAGAATTATGGTAGAGTAATCCTTTCGACCAAGATACATGCTGAAATCTCTAGCGAGACTATCCTTGAATTCATTGGAGTCAGCATTACTTGCTAGCTCGACAAAAAACTACTCACATTCTTTGAGTCTCTGCTTCCCTTTCCCTTCTGAATGAGATGCAAGAGGGGCTTCCACTGCGCTGCACGTTGTAACATGATAATCGGTTGAACTGAAGTACAGGTAGAGGTTGTGAAACTTCTTTTGCTGAGTGCGCTATGCGGACCTTTCTGCTGTTAGGGGTAATGAAGGAGGAGAGAGGGGTATCTTCAGGGGTCTGGCCGTCTTGACTTTACATAATCTTACATAATCGTGTACTTCAGTCCAGCCAAATTGTATTTCAAGCGATACATGATATACTGAGCAACAACAATTGAAACAATAGCTATGTGGAAGATTAGTATAGCTATGCCCTAAGATGCTTGAGTGCAACAACGTGTATTTCTCGTCTCCGGTGGAGATCTGCGTGCGAGATCGTGTTTCTAAGGTCGAGCTCCAGCTAATCCCAATCGGTCAGGGTAGTAGTTTATCGGATTGCCACATCCTGGTAGGCAAGTTCTCTAGAGATACATAAACAGCGGAGTTGGATTCACATTCTATCAGCTCCTGTTCGTTACTGCGAAGGATGCCTAAGGCGACGCGGAAGAGAACAGCGAGTCCATCAACAAGAAAGACATCCCACACTCTGAAAAGCGTCTCTTGAAGAGTCAGATAACATAGCGCGAACGCATATATGCTACTTACCTCTATTGGAACGTAATCCGTGAAGAGCGACGAAAACCAAGAGAGGCCCAGTCCCCGAAAGGATCCTGGAATATCATCGTGTTATCATAGTTATTAGTGATAGAGGTGCTACGTCAGACACGCGAGGCATCATGCAACATGATCGACTCATGCATACCCAATACCCTGTTGCATGGGGCAAGCGACATCCCAATATTGGGGAAGCAGAAGACCATTGTCCGATGTGATATGCGGGAGCAGACGCTCCCGCAGGACCAGGCGGCCTTGAATCACAATGTGTGATCGCCATAAAGCTCATCATCCTCTTCAACTATAATTCATCAGGATGTTCATCTCGACCGCGTAAAAACACACACCGATGATAGCAGTTTCATTTTGGTACACCGATTCTGGAATCGTGCCAGTGGGCTGCATGTTGATATTCACAGTTTGAGTGCGCGGGGTTTGGCCATACTGATCCATGTTTTCTGAATATTCTGTCTCTCCTCGCTATTGCTCTCGAGAAACAGCAGACTCGGCGTACGACTGTTGGCTGCGAGGTGGCATGGGCGCATTCAATGACTGAGGGCTGAGGGTTTCAAGACGCTGTTGCACTTTTATCATTCCGTTCATAAGCTCTTTGGCCCATTCAGGTGGCTCTTGCTGTTGCAGAGTTGATCTCAGATTCAAACGTTACAAACAATTGGAGTAACTTACTGTGTCTGGCTGGAAGTCCGCATCCAGATGGACGCTAGGATCATGATCATGGAATGACTTCCTGTACTGTCGCATGGACTGCGAGGATGTAAGATACATTCAACATGAAGAATAAGCAGTTGAGCGCACATCTTGGTTATATTTCATGCCCAGATTCTTGACGCGCTGCCTCAATGCTTCTCGCAGCGCCTTCTGGATGGTGCCAGTACTTAGCGCATGGTACGAGAACAAGAGTAGAAAGCTGACTAATGTGACAAGCGATGAATAATGTAGGGAACAGCGTTTAGGATTAGTAATATCCGAAACTCGTAACGCCACGTACGCGCCAATCATTGAGCACATCTGGCAAATTTTGAAATCAATCTTAGTGCTTAATATCTGACTCTTGCTATCGTGGCATCAGGCACATTGCAAACATTCATGATCTTGTTACACATACTCCAGCTCAATTGCTGGTAAACGCAGGCCGGATGAAATCACTCACCACCGGCATGCACAAATCCACGCACGCCATATAATGATCGATTGAGAATGATTCCCAGGCGGTAGTACTCGCGTTACCAAAAAGATATCGATCGTTTTGGGTGCATGTACTTGCTCTATTCTACACGATTAGCGGCATGGAGTTGTGCATGAATGGCAAACAGGAAGGGCTCATCCCAACTAGTAGTTATCCGATGACTTCTCATTTGCCTAGCATTCCACCGGGCTCGAACTTGGATGCTCACATGACCAATGATAATTTATGTCATGCATCGAGTGTTCTACAAACAGAGAATGAATCGTCAAATTGCGTTTGAAAGTCTACGTGGGGTTTTACAGGGACATGGTCTCGCCACACGCTACAGATCCGTCTGATGATAGGACTTTGACGGTTAATCTCGAAGCGTCCTGGGGTCAACATTAAAGGATATGTAAATGACAGCGGGCATGCGCTCAGAAGGGACTAAATTCGATATTTCTTGGCGTTGATGACTGTAGAGGAGTGTAGGTAGAGCGAGATACTAGGTTATATGGAGTGACCAACCTTCAAGATGATAGATTGGCCTTTGGCCATGATGGTGCGATGAAGGAATAACAAGAATATTAATGGAGCATGGGTTGGGTGGCGGACAGAACGAGTGGTAGGAGAAGATGGGGGTAAGGACATGGGGACTATGAGCGAAGTTCAAGCATCAGATCCGATCGTTTTCAAATATTCCAATGAAGTCTTTAATAAAGACTGACGATCGTTCTTTTGACCATCAAGGACCTGTACTTTTTATTTGATGAGTGATCGGAAGTGTCGACACGATAGATGCTAACATGATTGCACTATTAAGCGCTAAGGATCAACTAGTGCTGAACAGAGAGCTTGTACTGCAGAAGTGGGCATGGTCGATCCGACTCGATCGACAGCGAAAGTGACGCACCAAGGTCGTGGGTCCGGATATGCAAGTCTCAGAGCGTCTCGCGAGCCTTGCTGCTGTCACGAGTCACTCGATAGCCTCAGGTTACATATAGCCCCAGGCTGTAGAACACAGTGTATCGTATGTTGCAAATAACGACACAGACAATACATTCTGGCAGTACCTAGTACGAGCTGGGCCCGTGCTGTCAGTGAATGTTCAAATAACAGTACTTGATGTACTTTGTGAAAACGGTTCACATACTATACTTAGACAGAACCTCGACATATAACCTGAGTTGGTTTGCCAGTTAAACTAAATCTAAGGCCTGGATGGTCCGCTTGCAGGACTTTTGTGAGAAACTCACCGTCCAGCTGGTTTGTCATGTTGCCACAGAGTCACAGACGCGTCGCGCGCGCCATTATTCCCACGGTGACTGACGCGTGTTTTGACGCGACTGTACGGCTCAAAGTCACATCACTGACTGTCATGGCAGATACATTTGTAGCTACTGGACTACTTGGGCCCGGGCCATCGGCCTCGCTGCTAGGCTCCTCATCCACCACAGATGGGCTCTCCTCCGTCTTCTTATCGAATGGCCTTTTGGGCGGATTGTGTATCGCCCCAACTCCGAGTCATGCACAGCCAGAAGAACGAGCGCAGGAGCTTAAAGGCATAGATGAGCCACAGAGTTCCCGCAACACCGCGTCTTTATTCTCCAGATCATTTATCCCTACGCACATACGTGCTCCGCTTCGTGCTACGACATATGACGGGAATGCAATACATATAAGGCGAAAGCCGTACGTAGGCACAACACAGAAGGCAAGATACCGATGCATTCCTTTCCTGTTCTATGCTTATCGTGTTCAGACTTCTTCTGCTCCAACTCGATTAAGCAACCTATTAGACGTCCCTATACACAGACTCAGGGATGAGCTATCGGCTGCTACCGCTTCGAAGTTGTCCTTTTCGTGTGTCTCTTTTGATTCCATTCGGAACATGACCTCATATGTTTGGCAGGAAAACCACCACTAGAGCATCTCAGTCACACAAGCCCTCGATTCCGGTGCCAGAGGATACACTCTGGGTTGATCGATATCGCCCTCGAAAATTCACAGAACTATTAGGTAATGAGCGTGTTGCTCGTGAAACAATGGCTTGGGTAAAGCAATGGGACTGGTGTGTATTCGGTAAGAAGAAGAGCAAGAAGAGGCTGCGGGAAGATGACGAGAACTATAACCCTGACGATGAATACCACCGTCCACGAGAAAAGGTAATAGTTCATATAATGCAACAGAATGGGCACATTTGTTTATTCATGACCTCTAACAGCTACTGCTAATATCCGGTCCCCCTGGGCTTGGTAAGACGACATTAGCTCATGTTGTCGCGAAGCAGGCCGGGTATGAAGTAATGGAGATAAACGCGAGGTCTGCTTCTCCAACAGAATTTTTGGTCCAATGCTCATTCCGCACAGTGATGCGCGTTCTGCACAGGTCATCGATGAGCGAATACGACCGGCGCTGGAATCAGGGTCTGCAGTCGGGAGTGTAAAACCTGTGTTGCTCATCATCGATGAGATAGATGGGGCCACTGGAGGTGGGGATAATGTATGTGTTATGAATAATGATCCTGCCCGTGGTCACTGATGCAATTTAGGCAAGTGGATTTGTGAACAAGCTGGTTTCGCTCACCTTTGACAAGCCAAAGAACAAACGTGATTTTTCCACTGGTAATGATGACACTCTCTCAAACTTGTCTTGGTAGGGAAGAAGAGCGACCAGAAAGACAAGCGTCCACTCCTTCGCCCAATAATATGCATCTGTAATGACCAAAATGCGAATGCCCTTTCCAAACTCCGTCCTCACGCCCAGCAAATTCGGTATACGAGACTTGCTGATAGTCATATTGTTAAGCGTCTCCGCGAGATTTGCGAGTTGGAGGGATTACGCGCTGATACCAGGGCTCTGAGTACCTTGGTCGGCGTAGCCAAAGGCGATCTCAGAGGCTGTCTCAATACTCTGCAGGTGTGTACTTGGTGTGCACACTACACTTATAACATTCTCAATCTTCATAGTTCATCAAGTCTCGCAATGATGAGGTGACTGAACCTCTCATTCGCCGTGCTACAGTAGGCATGAAGGAGGGGGACACTACCGCGACTTCAGTAATCAACGAGATATTTGCGCCCTTATCCCGGAAACGTGTCAAGGAGCTTGGCATGGGCGAAGAAGAAGAGGCACGTTATGTGAACCGCCTAAGTCATACAATTGAAGGATTGAACAATCCTGCAAGTATAGCGAATGGTCAGTGCAACATCTACGACATCCATTCATTTTTTTACCCGAGTGTAGGCTGTTTTGCGCATTATATCAATTGTCGTCAATACGACGCAAACTTGAACCACTACGAGAAGGCTGGCGAGTGGTTGACGACCTTCGACTCCTTTTCATCGGTCATGTATACAGACGGGGACTTCGCGCTGCATACATACCTGTCATATTTCCTGGTTCCTTTTCATCCGCTATTCCGAGAGCGAGGGGAAAAGCGGGTAGAACGAGATAGTTCGGACTGGGATGTAAGCGTTTGCTTTTTGTGTGGTTGCAAGATATTTACTCCTAGCAGAACTTGCAGCTGACGCGCGCAAACGAAGAAATTTATAAATCGTTAGCAAACGGTATCCGCTCAACTGGTCGGACTGCAGGGGCAAACAGACACCTCGTCACAGGTCAAGTCTTGCAACTCGAATTTGCACCATTTATCAATCGTATAATCTCCCCTCCTTTGCGACCGGTGAGTGGATCTTGCCACACTTGCCTGTCATCTCAAAATGTATATTTCTCAGGTCAACAGTCAAGTGATAAAGCCACAGGAAAAAGCTTTGCTCTCGCGTTTGGTGGAGATTATGGTGTCTTTTGAACTTCGCTTTGTGCAAGAGAAGGCTGAAGATGGCCAAAATGTGTATAGGCTTGACCCGTGAGTTCTGCACGATACATCCCCCTGCCAACTGATATAATTTGTTCCGCGCAGTCCAATTGACGTTTTTATTACCTACGACGGCAAGCGCGCCGAAGATATCGCGGTCTCTCGGTATGCTGTACGACAGTTGGTCGCCATTGAGGTTTGTGACTTTCGCATGAACATGAAATTACCTTTCTAACTCGACCCAAGATTGACGCTGCACTCGTCGCAAAGCAAGCAGACGCAGTGGAGAAAGGAAAGGAACAAGCAAAAACCAACTTTTTCAAAACGTCTGTCTATCCGTTCATTTGGGGTCTGCATCGCTCACTTGACCATTAGATCAAGGAAGGATGTCACGGCATATGTCAACGAAGCTCCTGAGCCCATGGAAGTCATAGAAGGCAATGATGAACTGCGCCGCATGGATGCCTCATCTGAGCCAGGCCCTGAAAACAAACGAGCACGCACTTCCGAGAAAGTGGACATTGCAGACAAGGTTAGGATAGATCTGTATTGTGTAGATCATCTGCTGAATTCGTCAACTAGCCGCCTGTGGACTTCTTCGGAAGGCCGATCGCTATGAAGAAAGATTCAAGGAGGTCACTGACGTCGAAAAAGGTAGTCCCTGATTTTCGCATTGCATATAAGCATCTGGAAGGAAACTCGGCGGCTGTCCGTCGGCCGACGAAGGTTTCATCGTTTCTTTGATCAAATCCGCAGTTGTGATACCAGATAGGATCATCCATCGCACACAGAAGACCTTTATTTTGTACAAGTAATATATCAGAACATACCCCAAAACCCAAAAATTACAGCAAGCACTGGAGTATCAAACAATACAGGGATGGACAAGTTATAGAGAATATGAAAATTATTATATAAACTGCATCAAAACACACTGACGAAGGACCGGAAATCCGAGGAGAAGTATCTGCGAAGAATCAAGCATAACTGTCAAGGCAACACCTACAGAACATAGCGGAAGTCGCGATTTTGTTTGTCCGTGAGATCAAGGAAGGCTTTGTCGACCTTCCTCTCCGTACCCGATTCGTCTCGTATGTACACGGCATCATGCTTGTCGGGGGTTTCTCGTTCTCGTTTCCTGTTCTCACTGGCGAACATGAAACGAAGAACCACCAACGCGATACCGGCAGCAAAATTGCATGATGTGATCACAGCCCATGGAATGTGGTTCCTACATCAAATTTAACGTGACCCGTCATGATCGGTGGTGCCTGATAATAACGAGTTCGTTACGCACCTGGGTTGATACTGTGCCTGCCACATAAACTGACTGACGGCATTGCCAACCGCATACGAGCACAGGACGATGCCATTGGTGGTAATCCCTGTGCAGACATTATTGAGCCTGTGACTAAACGGGGTAAAAATAAATGATCCATACGTTTCGTGTGTCCGGATGTTATCGAACTAACCCAACCAAGGAAGATAGGAAATGGTGCAATCGCAAAGACTGGACAATGAGATGAAAAGGTCCGTCAGTGCTTTACGCCTCGAGGCGCTTCTCGAATGAAATTATGGAACGTACTTGAAATCCAGTATGAGAATAGTAAACCTATTTTGTTAGAGAACGGAAGTGTGCTAACGAGTATCGAGCCAAGTATCCCAGGAATGTACATTAGTACACCAGCATATGACCTGCCGATGGATGGCTGTGGAACAAGAACCGTGACTCCCAGCCAAATGGCGAGAACTACATCATAGGGAGAGGTGAAAAAGGTATCGTACAACACAAGGAGAGACGTACTTTCGACCGCACCATCAACACAGCCAAGAAGAGTTGTCTGGATACCATTGAACCCGAATTGTGAGACAATCAATTGACGTTGATTGGTGAGCTGATATGCATCCGTATTTAGTATGTGAACTCGAATTATGGAACAACTTCTTACAGAGTTCACGATGTTTCTGACAAAACGCGTGAATGCTTAGATACGCGTGTATATGTGATGGTTCAAAGACGTACGCAGACCCTGCAAAGAATGCCATCAACCACGTCTTTGGGTCCTTCACAGTTTCGAGGAACCTGCCGAAAAGAGAATGACGTGATGCGTCGCGAACAAGGATATTAAAACTCACTGTTCTTTCTTGAAACGTTTGTTCTCTACGCCACTTTGATTCACTTGAATTCTGCGAATCGCCGCAACTCTCTCTTCTGGAGTTAAGAACCATGCAGTTGTGGGCGAATCAGGGAAGAAGAACCTTATCGAATCGAAAGGGATGAATGAGAAATCTGCATGATCATCATGATTTGTACACACCAGAAGAGCACAGAGGTGATCAATGTAATGGTTCCAGTGATAATCATGAGCCTTGTGCGATCAGTAAGGTAATGCCACCGCATCATGTAAGATCGTGTGACTCACCATTGCCAGGGCATGAAGGCTGTATGCGTGTGAAGGAGACCAAAACTAATAAAGCCCAAAATAATCACAGCAAAACCGTTCATCAAAACTGAGAGAGAATGAGAGAGAGAATGAAGAAATGAATCAGAGCTTACACCAATAACCGACACGCCTCGTTTGCTCGGCATGAGTATAGAACATGGATGTGACAATCATGAAGCCGGGCGTAACAGCGCCTTCGAACATCCCCAGCAAGAAGCGCACCGCAAACAATGATCCGAAAGATTTGCAAGCAGCATGACATAGCAGGACCACGGCCCACAAAAATATATTGATGCTGAATGCCCATCAGAGTAAAGAACGTGTTGGATGCGAATGACTCTTAGCGCACCTCATCCATTTTCCAACAGGGAAGCGCTGCAACGCCAAGTTCTGAGGGTATTGAAAAACGAGGTAGCTCAGATAAAATATTGTGCCAAGCCAGTTGTACTGGTTTGCAGTTAGATGTGCACCATCCCTGACATGGCGAGAGGTCAGTGCATGCAAACACGACAACATGTGGCCAACACGCACATTATGCCCAGCACCGCTGCCTCTCCCAGAGTTGTTTTATCCATGAACGTGATTCTACAGAGACCGTTGAGAAGAAACATAGCGATTGGTGATAGGATGCTCACAAGTACATGACTGTCAATGCATCTTGGTCAAGCGAACAGCTTCGAGAATCTCAAAGACTTACTGCACATGAATGGTAAAACATGCCAATCAATCTTGGCCCTATGAGAACCTATGAATGGAAGGTCTACGTGATACTGGCGATAAAACAACATACCTCAGCCGAGAGGCCTCCTGTGGAGTTAGGGAACTGTCTGTCTCAGCAATCAGCTGAGCACCGACGTCGACGTCGTAGCTGTGTACGGTGCTAGAAGCATGTATATGGGCGTCCTTTTTCTCGGAATTGTCGCTGGCTGAGTCCATGCTTACTGGCTGATTGGGAACAGCGAAAGAAGGGGGTGAGCCTACACTTTATAAGTTGTAGGCTCTGCCGCGCCTTTACGGCATTTTTGATCATTGAAGCGTGGGCGCTGATCCAGTTGAGGAGTAAGGCGATTAGAGTGACTAACTTGATTAGTGAATGCCGGCGGAGGGTATCATCCGTTGACATCGGCTTGGACGCGTCGGGTTTCAGGAATCAAAGTCAAGCTCGGATTGAGAATAGAATTATGAAAAGAACTCGAAGACAGGAAGTTGCTTCGCTTGACCAAACAATCCCATTGAAACTTTGAGTTTGGTTCAAAAACTAACGAAATTAATTAGCAAGCTCACCGCAGGCTGCCTTGCTTCTTTGCCTTTCACTTCCACCCGTCGCAATCAGAACCTTCCGCAAATACGTCGTCGCCGCGTGTGTTGGAGAACAACGCAGATTGATCTGAGCTCACGAAGCTGCGAAGGAGTCCGCATTCGATCTCATTCCGTCAGAATCTTGAATATTTATTACTTTCTGTGTTGAGACATCACTTAGCGGTCTATGATGTCTGATTCACATTCTGATGGAACGCAGCCTGACATGAAACAGTGGGTTCTTGAGCCGGAGACAGAGTATAGGTTCGAGCTCGACCCCAATACCTCCCTCGCAATCAAGGTACGTTGGTACACAACCACGAGGCAAATTCATCCCAGGCAGCTCCACACCTTCTGAACCTACTCCTCAGCTGGCTCATGGACAGGCCGAGGTCTTCGGTGCTGAACTTGCGGAAGGCAAAACATATCTTTTCGGGACCGAATGCAGGGCCGCAGTTTTCACCTGGCAGGGTTGTACCTTGGAGATAAGTGCTACACCTTCTGTCGTTACTCACAACTTGTGTTGCTGATCTATTTCATTCAGTACATTACAGGCCGCCCTTCCACCGAATATGTATCTGAGGAAACCCCTATGGCGGCATATGCGAATGTGCACATTGCGTTCGAGCAGATGCGTGTCAGAGCACTCCGTGTCGTGCATGGATCACCCGCTTCAGATGATGATGCCAATGCTAATGCAGAGCCACCAAGAGTCCTTGTTCTCGGTCCTGAGAACTCGGGAAAGACAACAGTATGCAAAATTCTGACAAATTATACTGTTCGAGCAGGGCAGAACTGGTCCCCTGTGTTGGTAAACGTCGATCCGAGTGAGGTGAGCTTGCGAGAGGCGGATCTATCTTTATTGTGCTGAATCACCAGTCAGGGTGGTTGGGCAGTTCCTGGAGCAATCTCGGCCGCTCCAATTCGCAGCCCTATAGCTACAGCATCACCCGCCAATCCTCTTGGCTCTGCTGCTACATCAGCTCCTACTGCCCTCTCTTCGAATGCGTTGATACCGCTAAGCTATTGGTATGGGCATTCAGAAACTAAACGGAACCCAGTTCTACTAGACCGACTTATCCGAAATCTGGGAGAAAATATCAGACAAAGGGATGATGATGACCCGGAGGGTGCGGAGAATTAGCTTCTGTTTCAGCGCACGACAATCAATGATTCGTGGATCCTTAGCTCGCGTGTCGGGTTTAATTGTCGATACTCCATCGTCTTTTGCATCGAGTTCTAGCAGCGCGCCAGACAACAGGCATACGCTCATAAAAGCATGTGTCGATGCTTTCAGAAGTGCGATTTGTTGAATGCATTGGTTCTTTATCTGACTCCATGATAGTCAATGTAATTCTCGTGGTCGGACACGAAAAATTGACCGTTGAAATGCAACGGCTGTTTGGCAATCGGTTTACAGTGGTCAAGATACCGAAGTCAGGAGGAGTATGTGCTCTTATCGATCCTATTCGATTTGTGCCTCACAACACCCGACCAGGTCGTCGAATTGGACCATGGTTATCGGGAACGCGTGCACAAGTATCAGTTGCACACTTACATGTATGGCCAAAAAATAGACCCACCCCCTGGCATAACCTCCGCAATTGTTGGAGGCGAAGCGGTGGCAGACCTCGTCCTTTCGCCATCCTCATGTGTCATCAAGTTTGGAGATTTGACAATCTATCGCATCGGTGCTGGTAGGCAAAGTTTCTGAACGCATCAACACGTGGCTGATCTTCGAGACTGCTCGCCGTAGAGAACATGGCTCCTTCTTCCGCATTGCCTATAGGTGCTGCACGCATGTTGTCGGAGATGCAGCCCGTGCTTGTTGATCCTGCATCCAGCAGCTCGGGCCTACTTAATTCCATCCTCGCCTTGCTTGCACCCTTCAACCCGGATGAGTCCGAGCGCTATGACGAAGAAATTTTGGACCTGACTGTGGTTGGTTTCCTCGTTGTGTACGTCTTCTTGCACTTCATTGCGTAGTTCTTTCTTTCTTTTGTAATTGCTATAGCGTCCTTCGCTCACTCTTGCCTTGTTCATTTAGTACCAGCATCGATGCTCCCAACCGGAAAATGACGATACTCGCGCCTAACCAAGGATCACTTGTCGGTAAGACAGCCCTTGTGGGCTCCTTTGATTGGCAGGAATAGAGACAATTTCATGGGATCATTCTTCGAGGATTCTTGTACCTGGAGTCTTTGACCAGACAAATGACCGACTGAACTCAAGGCTTCGGCACGTCTAAGATGCCCTAGATCTGTGAGGGAGTTGGCAAGGCACAGCTTTTACTCCATCACTTCAGTGCAATTGTACTTGACATGGTTCCTTCCGCGATAAAGAGTTGAACGATGAATATGGTTTCTCACGATCTCTATAGTTCTAATTTCAGACTAGAGGATTGCGAGTACAAGGTTTGACGACTTATTCAAACATCAGTTACTAGATGCTTTGCTAGTAGTAACTGAGCTTCACCCGCTTTTCTCATGACAAAAGGTGACTTCACTTCAAATTCGCAGATTGTGACACTAGCAACACGTAATTGAACCTGAGGCCTGAATTTGAAGACCCGAACAACTTTGCTGCATGGTTCAGTTCTATTTTGCCCTCGCTGTACCGTACTCTTCCCGTGTTTATTCGCTACTACCAAATGTTGAGCTCTGAACAGAAAGATGACGACACCACCTAGCCAAGGATAGCTTGTCGGCAAGATAAACATTCTAAGGTCATGGTGATTGGCAAAAATGAACAAGACTACCATACTCTGATGGTTCGTTTTACATAAGAGTCCAACGAAATGACGCGTACACAGTACACATTGTGGAGAGAAGAATTGAGTAATGAGAATGAATGAATGAATGAGATGAAGGATGATAATGCAATAGAGTATCCTGTGTGATCAAAGCCTGGACAAGTCCCGACCCCATACGCCACTGCGAATACAACCATCAACATCGGCATGAAAAAGAATGCAAAGCCCGTACCGAATGATCCAATCCATCATTAAGAGAAATCGTGTCCTGGCCGAAACCTGCTCGCTCCAGTAAATGCTTCGCCACGCGTACATGGCAGCGAGGCCACCCATGAATGACAGATTGCCCAAATCGAAGACTGCGGCATTGCCAATATACGCGAGACTGCCGAGATGAGTATAGCGAAATGTCTTGGATACAGCCTCGTCCAGGTCATGTATGTCGTTCGCCTCGAGGACTTCTCGTTTCTTCGCTAACTGGTTTAGCTTCTTGCCAAGATATTTTCCTTGCTGAGAAGCCACTTGAGCAGTCTAGATCAAGACAGTACCAAAGTCAGGGCAATCGTGATATGACGCTGAGCACCTACGGCAGGAAGCGATGTTATCTTATTTCCGATTTCTTCCAACAGTTTACACAGTTCGTTTAAAGAAAGACTATTGTCTGCGTCTGAGTCATACAAATCGAACAAAGTTCGGACCTGAGTGAAAGGATGGATTCAATAAGGCCTTCTTAGAACATGCACGTAAACTGGCCTTCTGCAACTGCGACTCAGCCATCGGAATCCGGTGTTTGATCCTTGCAACTACTAGCCGTCAAAACAACGTTTTCCGAAGAAGCCCGCCGACATACCCATAAAATCAAATTCATCAAAGTCGATCTTGCCATCTTTGTTCTTGTCGGCCTCATCAACCAACTCCAGCAAGTGGCTCACGACGGACGTCTCAATCTATATGCAATCAAGTCCACGCCAAGCACCAGGAAACAGTATAAAATAGACGCACAGTTGCACAATCTCCAATTGCGTACACATCACCCAACGGTGCACCTTTTACACGAAGATGGGCATCGACTTCGATCGCTTTCTTGTGTACTTGATTGGGTAATAAGGCAGAGACACGACGAGTAAAGGGATTCATCGCAATGCCAGTGGACCACAGGACAAAATTTGTCGGGATCTCATGAGTGGTAATTGTCCCATCCGGAGCCCGCACAGTGTACACGACGTGATCAGGGTGGACGGCACTGACCCTAGCAGAAGTTACTAGGTCGACGCTATCACGACGGAACTTTTCCTGATGTAGTTGCTCGGTTAGAGTACCTTGAAGCACTCTCGATAAGTCATCCTTACCTCGGCATACTTTGAGATGGCTTCCGAATACTGCGCTCAAAGTGAGGTTCACACTTTAATTGTTCTTGAGCAATTTCACGCACCGTATTGAGAATATGCTCGCGCGACTGGATTACATGAATCGAGACTTCTTCGCGACATATCTTGGGGTACTATACAGCACGAGTCAGGCACAGATAAAGATAGAATGACTGAAAAATATACGTAGTTTACGATATCTTCTTGACAGAAATCATATATTTCCTGTATGAATAAAATCCATTTTTATCGTATATATGGACATATTTTGTTAGAGATAGACGTACAGCTGCTGTCTCAACGCCCGTGGGGCCACCTCCGCAAACAACGAATGACAACAAACGCTTGCGTTCTTCAGGGGTTGTGATAGGAAGACTGGCCGTTTCGAAATTGTCTGAAAAGTCACAAATGAATGATAGAGGCGTCAATCGCGAAGGTCTTACCGAGGATTCGTCGTCGGATGGCTTGCGCATCTGATATGGTCTTGAGTTGGAAACAGTGTTTTAGACCCTGGATGCCGTGTGTACTGGAAGTTGACCCGCATGCAATGATTAGTTTATCATAGCTATAAATGGCCATTAATGACGTAAAGTAACATGAGGGTTTCGACAGTGGCGACTCACGGAAGATAAACATTTTGGGGATTACCAGTCGAGGTCAGCGTTTCAAGTTCCAATAACCGCTCAGACATCACAAGGTCAACAGCCTTGGCGTCTACGAAGTGGCCGCGAAGACGCGCTACGATCTTGCGTAGGGGTTCAACCAAAGTACGAACTTGAACTGTACCGACCGCAGCCGCTATATATCATGAGCAGGTTCAGCTAAACTTGTAAAATGTCAATTTGACACTTACAAGGTAAAAGCGGGGTGAATGTAGTGAAGGTTTCTGGCGACACGACGGTCACGTGCCAGTCACCAGGAGATAGTGTTTGCAGAACTGAAATAGCCTGTAGAATGTCTATGTCAGCGATAGCACCGGTGCATGAAAATTCACTCATTACCCCCCAGCCTCCTCCTACAATCACCAACTTCGGTTTATCCAAAAGTTTCTTTGCTTCATCATCCTCTACGTCATCCACGAGTGCTCTTACAATTGGGAGGTTCTTTGGCCCCCCCTGCTCGGGATGAAGTGCGAGAGGCAAGACCGGTACGCGGTGGACATCCTTGTTCGTATAAGTAAAAGCGTCGTGAATGAATATCCCTGCGCCTAGTAACAGAATCCCAAATGTCGAAGAGAGGGCCGCAAGTCCGGTATATTTTGCTACCAGTAGAATACGACTAAGCAAATGCGACCTCGGAAGAGGCTCAGTTGGTATCTGTGGCCTTGAACTTGAAGGTTTTGGTGGTTCCAATGCATTTGTTGAAAGTAGCCGACTCGGAAGAGGTCTGGGAAGAGGTGGTCGTATTCCAATACCTAAGTGAACGAGCCTAGCCCTGCTTGGCTTACAGACCCGAGTGAGTTGGTACATTTTAGAGCGGGGTCGCTCTCGAAATACCCACTAGGTCAGGACTCAGCCTGTGTAGGCAGGGGCACGAGAAAAAGCAGTGGTTCGAACCTGAGGTGACAATGAGAGGTAATTTAATTACATACAACACTGTGGACATACTGAGTCATCCAAGTTATTCATAGCAAGCCTCCTATCGCACAACTGACCGAGTAAAACACAATATTGTCCTCAAATTTTCAAGCCTCAACGATGCATTCAAGTTAGAGCTGCAGGTTTTGAACTCAGTCGACAGTACACCAGCTCTTTAGATTTACATAATCGCAACTTGAAGTTGTTCATTCGAAATGGCCGCAACATATCCCATCGCTGTTCCCTCTCTGGCAGACATGTTCCCTGAACTCCCACAGATCCCCGTTGTAACAAACTGTAGAATCGATGAAAGCAAAGCTGCTGGAGATCCCATTGACGAGGATGCTGCACACAGCGCAGAGCAGACGGTGCATGTACTGCAAGCCCTCAGGCGTAAGCTCAACACTTTTTAGTCCAAGCTTATGTGATGAACATTTGCATCTCTGTCAATTCAGGTACCGTTCCGGAGCTCACCGATGCTCATATAGAAGGTGCAAAAAACCGCGCACATGTGCTGCGTGCAATTCGTGAGTGGATTCTCTCCCCTTGCTTCAGTGGCAACACATTGTTTATTAATCCCAATCTGAGATGCAAGTAGAGCAGTTGGGCCGGGCGACATTCTAGCTACCTTGAATGACATTCGAGGAAACTTGGATGACATGCAAAGGAATTTCACTGAAACCTTGGAACAGATCCAAGCAATCATGCAGCGGAACCAGGCCATGATCGCCAATATTCGACTGGCAAGACAAAACCACGTGGTACCTCGTGATCGAGATAACTACACTCCACTTCAGAAAACCGTGAGTCACTCAATTTCAATTTCTTTTCTTGATCTTAAAGTTTCGTTACAGACAAGTGGACATGGTCGTAATCTTGCAGTACAAGCGTCCCGGCAAGAGCATCTTAACCAGATCCCCCCCAGTGCCACCATCCAGGTCGCTGAAGTAGGAACTTGCCCCCCCTTCTGGAATCCTGTCATCGATGGGTATACAATGAGAAACATCTTCCAGTTGATCATCTTCTATAACGATGATTTCGACATTCAACCGGTAGATAATGTGGAGGTCAGGAAGTATAAATTTCGTCACTGGTTGTGTTCTGTAAGTCTTGTTGTTTACATGCAGTGCCCAACTCGTGATTTTCTTCGACTTACATGATGCCATTAGTAAGTGGTCCTGTTTCATTTTGCATGTGACTTTCATTGTAGCTCGCTGCCTCATATCTTGCGTTGGATCGTTATCGTTCATCAGGGAAAACCTCCTTCACGAAATCAAGGTAATTTCAGAGAATTCCTCTGAATTCCGCTGAAATAAAAGTAAACGAGATTATTCAACTCCAGTCGAAATTCCTTTGAATTCCTTTGAAATCCTTTGAATTTGCTGATTGATTATCTTGAATTATCTTGAATTCAAACAATGTGAAGACACACGAACATCAAATATATTAGAATTAAACGAGAATATCACAACCGAAAGACGGCAAAAAGATCAGCAGACTCGAAAAAGCACCAGTATGTACAAATGACTCGGAAGGTTGATTAATCTTCACCCATTGCATCAAGATCAAGGTAATCACAAGCGGCGTCCAATGAACCAGCGGGCTCTGAGCTTTCTACTGCACTAATGTTGAATTAGTTAGAGTACACGACGATAACAAATAGCGCGTGAGCAAGACATACCTGACTGCCTTGTAGAGACGCGCCATCAGTACATGGTACTTCTTTCGACTACCGTTAAAGATGCGTGTGAGAGTCGCTTGGTGAGCGTTGTAAACACTGATGTGGAAGGAGGAATTGAATGATTTGACTTGTGCGCCTGAGGGTGGGTTCCCGCTGCTCCAATCCTTCAATATCGAGTAAATCTGCAGAGAACATTATGTAGTGAGCAAACAGAGTAAACATTATCAAGAGCGGCACCTACAAGCGTTGCAATCAAACACACCATAGCAACAGGTAGCTCGGGCTCGTTGTTTCCATCCAAGACCGAGACAAAATCGTCACAGGACTGGACACCAATTGAGTTCTCACCATCGAAAAAAGATAAACGGATGGAGTCAACCATAGACTCGTCACAAAACGGTTGGTCCCCAAGGACCTTACCCTGGGTGGTGGATAAGAATAAGATAAATGAAGAGATAGATAACGAAAAAATGAACAGACCTTGGCGTCGGTTGGGAAAATATACTTGTGACCCTTGATGAGGTCGTCTACCTCGTCACCGCAGCCTTTCTTGAGTCCAAAACGAGAGACCACAATTTGATGCGCGAGTTTCTTGAGATTAGTACGGAAGGAACTAAGCCGTCCCTCCGGCTTGTGAGGACTATGACTTGTGGAGACAAGCATGCCAGGAGCGCGGCATTAAGCCCATCTACAAACCATTCTGGCTGGATCTCCCGCATGCTAATATATTCCAATCCATCACGCCGGACGTGTTACATCAACTCTACCAGGGTATTGTAAAGCACCTCATCGAGTGGATCAAGGAGGCATATAGCGAAGCCGAAATTGATGCTCGTTGTCGTAGACTTCCCCCAAACCATAATATCCGATTGTTTCTCAAGGGTATCAGTAATCTCTCGCGTGTTAGTGGAACGGAGCACAATCAAATCTGTCGCTTCCTGCTCGGCATTGTCATTGGCATACGGTTGCCTGGAAATCTCAACAATGCTCGCCTTACTCGTGCTGTTCGTGCCATCCTTGATTTCCTGTACCTTGCGCAATACCCTTGTCATACGGACGAAACACTGGCACTTCTCGATGATGCCTTAACACGCTTTCACGACAATAAGGACATCTTCCTTGATCTTGGAATCCGCTCGAATTTCAACCTTCCGAAGCTTCACGGCTTCCGTCACTATGTACATATGATAAAAACGTATGGTACAACTGACAACTACAACACCGAGTACACAGAACGTTTACACATCGACCTCACGAAGGATGCCTATAGGGCTACCAACCATAAAGACGAGTACACTCAAATGACACTCTGGCTCGAAAGACGGGAGAAGATTCTATGGCACGACAACTTTGTCCAATGGCGTCTCGTTGGTGATATTGCCCCGCAAGAAATCATACCTCCAGACATGGATTATCGTCGCGCAATCAAGATGACTAAACACCCGACCATCAAGCGTGTCCAGTTGGACCGCATTGTGCGGGAGTATGGCGCCACATTTTTCACTGAAGCTTTGGCTCGTTACGTCGTCGGGAGAAATCAACCTGGTTTGTCTGCAGCACAACTCGAACGCGAGGCCGCTCACATCATTATTCCCTTTGATACTGTGGCTACGTTCCACAGGATCAAATTCAACTCAATCAATGCTCGGGGGATCCAGGACTCGAGTGTCACCGTGGATTCTGTCCATTGTCAACCATCACAAGAGGACAAGCGAGGGCATATGATCCCCGCGCGTTTTGACACAGTTTTGGTCAACGAAGGGGACGGCGGGACAACAGGCGTGGATGGTGCGTTTTGTATGGTGCATTGAACATGTTAGTCACTAATCTCACTCGATCACTGAAGGTTACCGTGTTGCGCAAGTCCGTGTCGTCTTTACGCTAACAAATCAAGCTTCGAATGTGTTATTCCGCGCTGGACCTGCACAACCACCCACCCACCTTGCCTATGTGGAATGGTTCACTCCATTCCAGCAACCGGAATCACACCATGGGTTGTACAAAGTTGCCCGCTTGATTCGTCATGGAGAACGTCTGGCAAGCATCATTGAGATATCAGATATCTGTAGGAGCATTCATCTTATACCTAATTTCGGCGTAGCGGCACCTCGTGAGTGGACGAGTAGCACTGTTCTGGAGTGCTGTTCCACCTTCTTTGTAAACCCCTTCAGTGACCGACATGCTTATTTAACACTTGTCTGAGCATTACAATGAAATTTGTTGAAATACCTTTGAATACAAATAATTTACCGAATTCTCAGTATTTTCATGCGAGTTTGTGAAATTACCTTGATTTTGTGAAGGAGGTTTTCCCTGATGTTGTCATTGTTGGTCGTCGCATAGTAGAATTTTTTCTTGTCACATGTGTCTGTATTCTCTCGTACTACTTTCGTCCCGCCGTCACTTACATTGACCTTCCTAGCATGTATTGCGTTTAAGCCAAATCACAAACTCGAGCTACGGTGGCCGCGTTGAACACTGCGCCCATAGCCCATTCACTACAACTCGCCTTAATTTTTATTGTAATAATATGGACCTTCCTTTGACAGATCACATTCCTGTGTTGACGGGTCCAGACACTTACTTCAAGTTCGCGTGGAACCGCGAAAGTATCGTATGCGCTCGGCACCGAGGACTTTTGGTGCCATCATGATGTCACGGACGAGACGGAACCTGATAACATTCTCGAAGCTGCCTTACCCGTCAATCCAGTAGCATCAACTGATGAGCCTATCAATAGGGACCGACATGCGATTTTTCGCATTTTAAACGTGAGCACGGCTCCATGCTGATTTCGGGAGTACTTAGAAGTCTAATTCAATCGTTTGACAAGATCACTTCGTCCGTGCTGAATGTCGAATTCCAATCGTCTCTCTAAGTAGGGGCTGCCAGTGACGATGATGGTCTGCAGTCTTGATGTCGACATACAGTTTTACCGTGTAGCACGCCCGCTATATTGAAGTCTAAATTCTCCTTTTGTGCTGTTAGCAGGGTACTATCTGCGTTATTCGGTGGGCATGCAAGCCAGACAGAGAGCAGCTTGGGCCAAGGATAGTTTGAAGCGCTTGGAGGGCCATGCGGGCGCGTTGGAAATCTTTTGTAGGAGGGCATGGAGAATACGAATGAGTCTGTTTGTTCCGACTCTTGAGAGAGGCGTGCACATGCGCTGCGGAGATTACAGAGATTTGAAGGAGTTCTGTACAAACATACTTTTGAAGCATCTGCGGAATGGGAAGCTTTCGCTGCCTTGAGTATTAAGCGCTTGTCTGAGTGCAGGATCATGATGTTTAGATTGCTGGAACTTACAACCGCAGGCATCACGGAATCAGGCAGGAGATATTCTACTCGATAGATATCTTTGTGGCAAACTTGAAATCGTATCAAACCCAGATAAAGTTTTACATCTTGGACAGTCTTGAATTCTGACATGTGACAAGCATATTGCATATCAAGGCATCGGAACGCCTCCCGGTTACACATCAAGCACGAATTTGGATTGCTACGGTAGGTTACAATGCGGGATATAAGTTGAGGGCAAATGATAATGACGAAGATGATAGTGTATGGAGAGCCAATGACAGAGAATAAACAATCATCCCTGATGCAACCCGAGGGATCTTCGTTAGCAGCATCGGCTTCGAGACCGACAATAATTGAATAAAAGATTTGACTCCGCTTGAGAGCCCCAGAGATCTCAAACGGCAATGCGTTCCAACTCTTTGACGACTTCAGACATAGTTGGGCGATCATTAGGATCATGAGCCCACATCCGCTCGAGGAGGTCAATAATTTCTGGACACCATTGTTTCCGCAGGCCTGTAATAGACGGTCTAAATGCCTCTCGTCAGCGTGCGAGATCATTGGACTACAAGGAGATAACTCACCTCTGCCGTTTCGTTCCAACGATATCGTAAATGGCATGCTCATTCATTCCCTTAAAAAAACTTAGACGAGATAGGAAGAGAGTGGTAATATATTCACCTCCCAGGGGAACTTCTTGTTGGGTACATGCCATTGAAACATTTCCCAGTACACCATGGCGCACGAAAAGACATCGACTTTGTGGTTGTATTTGGGATGTGCATGCCAAAGCTCGGGAGCTTGCCAGTTAACAGTGCCGACTAGACTGCGAACCATGGACCGCGTGGACTGCTTCACTTTGGCCAGACCAAAGTCTGCAATCTTAGCCGTACCGCGAGAAGTAATGAGGATGTTGGACGATTTGCAGTCTCTGTGGATGACCGAAGGCTTGCGCATATGAAGGTATTCCATGCCACGCGCAACATCCAGCATGATGCTCAACTGTGAGGAGGATGCATAGGCAAGAAGAGAAAAGGAATAACAAGCGTACGTACAACTTTTTTCAGGGACGGAGCAGGAACATTGCGAATGTAGTCGAAGAGATCGCCATTTGAGCAAAGTTCGCTTACTATCATGACGGGTGTCTCGCGTGTGTTCTCCGGTATGCTGACGCCAAGCTGTAGAGCACAGTGTAAATCGCGACTTCAACAGTCTCGACGGGGATGCTTACGAAGCGGACTATATTCGGATGATCAAAACCACCGAGAAGTTTGAGTTCTTTGATATCCACTACAGCGCATGTTCACAACGTGGAAGCCTCATGGGTAACAGTTGCGACGTACTTGAATTGAGCTGATCTCGAAATTCCGCGATGGCGACCCGTCTACCCTTGAACTTGCCGATGAATACGTCCTTGAAGCCCCCACTTCCAATCTTCTCCAGTTTTGTGAGTTTGTCAGGCGGAATTTCTCGATCTTCTAAACCTAGGCTTTCAAGATCCAATTCTAGCTCTGGCTCTGGCTGACTCGTGTTCTCGCCTGAGAAAGGAGTGCGTGGTGCGTCTTGATGAATTCGATGGGAGCGTAAGAGGACCGGAGGTGTATTGCTTTGGCTGCGGCTCTTGGCCTTTCTCCGGCCATTAGCACGATGGTGAGCGGTTGACGGTGGACGAATGGTGCCTGTGGAGGATGGCGAAGAGAACTCGCTTGTTCGTTGATCTCGCCACTGAAGGAGCGACCGTGCGAGTTGAGGCTTCGTACCAGCAACATCCAGATCCCGAGTCTCGCACATCCGGACAAGGTTATCACGACGCATACGGAGAAGGGTCTTCTTGGTGGCCACAGCGAGATCGACTGTAAGACTTGTGTGAGTAATATGAAAAAGCAAGAAAAAACAAACTAACAGTCATCTCCGTCTATAGCTTCATCAATCTCCTCGATCTCCTCTGTCTCCTCCTCATCCCCCTCAGCGTCGATGTCAATATCCTCAGCCTCTAGGTCAACTGACTCGTTACCATCTTGCTCCTCGTCTTCACCAGGCGTATCCTCTTGGCATTCCTCCCCAACCACCTTCCCGTTGCGGAGCTTCCGTGGAGTAGTTGTTGGCGGAGGTGACGTACATTCCTCCACATATACATCATCATCTCCGTCCGCATCTCGACTATCCTCTGACTGCTCTGACTGCTCGTCATCATCCATGCTCGAGCCATCCTCCTCCACGCCCTCTTCGACTTGTTCCTCATCAGCTTCCTCTTCATCATCACCTTCCCCTCCGTCGCTTGGGGGAGTATGTGTTTGTAGTCTGCGTGAGCGAAGACGTCTTTTCGCGGGGGTTGCTCGACATCGCATGGGTGGCGGAGTAGGAGATGGAGATGAGATAAGTTCATCGACCTCTTCCTCGTCCTCTAAACTATCTTCTACCTCCTCCCCTCTCGAAGTCTGCCGTCTAGATCTTCCCCGTTGCTTTGGCGTATCAGATTCCTGATCATCGCTAATTCCACCACGTTTCTCCTGACTTCGCAGCCGACGAGGACTGGGTGAGCCCGATGCAATCTTCTCATCCAGCTCAGTGAGATCGGTGAGCTCGCTCTCCTCGCCCAATGCAGCAGATTCAGCGATCTTGACATCTTCGCTGAATTCGACTTGTTTGCCCTTGCCCTTGCTCCTAGTAGAGGCACGGGGAACGACAACCTCAGCGGATACTTTACGAGCACGCAACCTCGTAGCAGGAGGGGATGGGAGTTGATTGGAAGAACTTGGTGTAGGCGAAGATCGGCTGGATGTAGACCTAGTTGTCCGTCGTCTGAGTGAGATATTAGCACACCGAATTCAATTCGGAAAATTCAACTCACGTCAGGGCGACAGCACCATTAGTCTTACATGCAACTGGTAGCTCGTCAGGACATGAGTGACTTGCGTTGATATGGCCAACGGATAAGCTACGTGTTTTCAAGAAGCGCAAATTCGCCTGATTTGTAGCCAAGTGAACTGTAGCACGACGCCGCAGACCCGGGGGAACTCGATATCTGGTTCCAGCGTCCGTTTCCTCGCCGCCTGCTGCGTTTCCCTCGTCTGAGGAGCAGTCGCTCGCATCCCGCCCAGGAGATGAGGGAGGTAATGATACGATATCATCTCGCGCTGCAATAATTGCTTCTGCGAGCTCCAGCTTTGTGAGGTTGTGCGCATCGTCTGATAGACCCGCTGCAGTGTACAACTGAAGAAGTTCGTCTTTTCGACGACGTTTGAGCTGGCCCAAGGATGCTTCATTGATCAGAAACTCATCCGCTGATAGTAGATAAAGAGATTAGTGCATCAAAGATCACAATGCACGAGTACTTACATGCTTCTTCATCGCAGTCAATCTCAGAAGCGTCAGACACATTCCAGCGACCAGGAACATCAATTTCCATGTCACTAGGTTCTTCGCTGGATGAGTCCCGGATCGATGAAGCTTTGAGCTTCTTCAGTTTTGGAGCCCCACGCGGGGGCCGACATCCAGACATGTTTTCATTAACCGACGCGACGCGTTTCCTTTTTGAACCAATAGGAACGTCAAGATTTTGACTCACATCTCGAATGGTATTTTTCATCAAAAGATACTGACGGGATGGCAGCCGTCGCAAATTGGGCTGTAATGTAGCCAGTATGGGACGCGAATCAACAGTAGTGTCTGAAGATGACGGTGGGGACGCGCCCACCGTGTGGGAATTAGCCGAGGAACGCTGGAATCTATTCACGAAAGCAAGAGCGCGTTTGGCAGCGGAGGTATGGCGGAGCGAGTACTGTCTACGCGCCAGATTATTGCTATTCGGAGGAAACGAGACTCTATGTGGTGAACGGCGTTGAACCATGTCCACGGCAACAATAACTGGTCCAGTTTATTGGATCGATTGTCACCAACCCTTTAGACAAGGTCGTTGAGAAGTGCGAATATCCAGTTTGTTGAAGTAATTAAGGTGCAAGTGCGAATGAGAATCGGTCAAAGGGCCTCTGGGTCGTTTCAGCTGTCGTCGTCGTCGTCGGTGTTGAAATCACTGGTTCTGACACAGTTTCAACCCCTGCCACAACGTCAATAAAACCAAACAACTGGTGGCGTGGGCTTATCCAACCAAATACAGTATTCGACTCAGGACAGATCCGTGCCAATGGGCACCGCATAGGCATGTCCTACTAGCACTCTGATGGCTCAGAATACGGGAGATTAATGTGATTAGACGGCATAGCGGGCAGACAGTACCTAGGTGGTTAAATGATTAGCAAGCTTGCTTCCGCGGATGGGAGTTCTTGATGGAAGTTCTAGATCAATTATTTGACAGCTATCAAAGGGATAGCTGAATCGAGCTTGGTGTACTTCACTGCCAGCGACCCCTCCTTACCACCGCACACATATGTACGTATAAAAAATCCCGCTGTTCTTGAGGACAGATTTCCACTTCCCCTTGCTCGTCGCTTTTCTCTCTGTCAAGTCAACAGCAGGATGCTCCTCAAATTTTCAAAGTCGGATATCCTGAACTCGGCTCTCGTTTATCCCGAAACCGGTGCTCTTGGATATACCATCCTTACCAGGTCCTATTTTATTCGTGACAACAATAAGGATTTAAACACAGAGAGCGAAGATGAGAGTCGCAGGACGACTATATATAATAAACTTGGGGAGGTCATCGCTGAGATCGGATGGAAGGGCAAGCAGCCAATAGAGATTGTCATCGGCAAGGAAAAAATCATCGGCGCGAAAGGGATGTTTGGGTGCTCGAGTGCCATACTATCGTATGTTCTTTTTATCCACCTTCATATCCGCACGTTCTCAACACCACCAAGTCACAATGTCCTCGGCATACCTACACGCTTCGACACGGAATACTTTTGGATGGCAGCACCAGATGCACTAACAGTTTGTGCTTTCCTTTGAGCCTGGTATCACTACTGAATGTCATGCAGCTTCTTGACTATGATTCAAATCAGACAAAAGGTTCTTTCCACAGCAATAGTATGCACGTGGGCGAACGCTTCATTGCCGCTCCGATACCCGGCTTGGGACATGACTATCTAGAGTTTGAAACGCATCCCCTCGCATCAACAGAGGAACTCCTCGGTACATCTTTCCTACTCCTTTTAGCTAGCGTCATTATCTGACATCGCTTCGAAGTTTCATTCATCCTGATGGAAGTACTCCGCCGAAGTCGGTTCAATCTCCATACAGACTCATCGGATCGTTCGAAGCTCTGGCGGAGCACACCACTCGCCAATTGGGGCCGACGATTACGACGGAAATCTATTTGATTGGTCCGGCTCGATGATTCAGATTTTTCATCGCTTTTCCTATGTGCTTTCTTCCCTGCATCTCTTGCTACCACTGTATATTCATATTCTGTTTGTCGATGCTTTCGCTAATGTCGCTCATTCCTGTGTAGCTCTATCAGTCCTATCGCGTTTCATTCCATCTCGTGCATTATTACTTCTCTGGCGTTTAATCGCCCTTTCAATGTAATACGGTACATACTGTGGTGCTGAGGAGGATACATTCCATCAGCATAAGATTTAGGTACTGTATTTATACCTGATAGGCTTGTCGCTCATTATTGTTACAGTATCAACCGTGTGTCTGTACATGTACTGTGCTATAGAGGTTACGTGTTAACATTTCAACTTCCGAAGCCAGACGTCAAACCGAATTCATCTCCCGCAATGCATAGCTGCTTTTGGTTAATTCTTTGTAATCACCAATGAGGGAACAAAGACACTGATATAAATGGTAAGCTTCTGTTCCGAATGTGCTTACAGAGGATGCTCGTCTAGACTAATTCTGACGTGTGCATCTAGTCATGACGCTAGGCCCAATCAACAAATGCGATATTCCATAGAAAGTCGCGATTACGTTCGACAGTTAACCAATCCCAGACTCCCACGAAGTACTTTTCTCAGTTACATCTATCAAAAGTTCCCCTTATCATGAGAGTACTGAAGTATTCCACACAAACACGTCGATCGTCATGGATACTCCCAGCGGCTCGGAGACTTTTTGAGTGAGGCTCAAGATTGTTGCCTGGCCTCAGGTTCTCGCTCGCTCGTCACCTTATGACCATATCCCAGCTACCTGCACAACCAGTCGGACCGACCAGATCTTACCCGCTTGGTATGTTCAGTTTCACACGGCCTAGGCTCATAGTAGACAAATGGTTAACAGATTCGAAACCCGCTGACAATAGTTTTTGTCTATCATCGCACCTTGGGTATGAGCTCATGGAGGTCTTCGAACGTCATTTCAACTATAAGACTTATGGGCGAGTGGTCGACACATTGGATGTCCCTCCTGGATGGTGCAAGTTCCGAGGACATCCCGATCCTTTGCACCTGAAGCATTTATGTAATTATGATAATTTAAATTTCTCTGAGGACCATATTGTCCGGTCCTAACTGAGCAGTGTAACACATTGGAAATTTGTTCCGCTTCGATGGTGTGCGCATGTTTGAAACCTGCTTATTACATCGTTTTTATTCGACTCATTGGCCCAGGCGCAGTTCGGAACTTTCTGAGATCCCTGTACATGAAGCTTACTACATACCACTCTACGGAGTCAGGAATTGGTGTCGCGCACTACTCATCTCAACGCCAAAGCTCTCGATGAACATAATACGGTAAGTTGTCGCCTCTAAGAATATAACGATTTCTATCAATTCTTATCCTGACCATCACTCGTACACATTCGCAACCGTGTACATCTTTGTAGTGGACACGGGCTTCACTGGTTCCTCGCCGTAAATCTTCTCCACCTTGTACATCGCCGAGGAGGGGACGGGACCAGCGTCGGCGGTAGTCCCCGAGGGCGGCGGCACTGGAGCCTCGACGGTAACAACACCAGGCTTCCCCGCCTTACTAGCCAGATTGGCTGCACGCCCATCGGGAATCCGGATGAACTCGAGCTTCCCATCCTCCGCAGTGCCGTCAAAGATGAAATAACCCTTCCTCTCAAACTGAATAATGTCCCCTTTAGTGAGCGTACTTACGTTCGCATCTGCGAACGCCTCCTCCCGGAACTCGCTCACGGGCGTGACGAAATCTTTGATGTCGTCCGTCTCCTCAAGCTTCTTCTTCGTGATCAGGTAGTCGTAGTCAAGGAGCGTTACGTCGACCAAGGGATGATCATTAGAGGGTTGGGCAAGCCAAGTAATCTTTTTCTTTGTCTTGCGGAAATCACCCTCAAGATGGAGGTCCATCGTGAGGGAAGTGACATCGCCCGAGGGGCCCATGGTCTTAGACCGTACAATGGCGTTTCCCCAGTCCATCAACGTTATCTAACGCGATCAGTGCGGATGAGACCTGTCTCTCGGCTATCGTTGGCATGACATACCTCTTCTTGATCATCGAAGGAAATGGCGTCTTCCTGCTCGACAAGAATGGTAGATGTAAATACGGTCCTTTTCTCGCCGACATCTGGATTCTTCTTATGCCGTGGTAGGGTCTTCACCTCGGGTGCAGAGGGGCCACCGTTAATAGTTACAAAGACACTGGACGACTGTGTCAGCTTGCAGATAAATGTTTGGTATTGCTGATGACGGCACCTGTTCTGCTTCACAATGGCCCAAAACCGCGGGGCAACAGGATCGATTACTTTCTTATTAATGGCCCAGATCATATCCCACTCGAGCGATACAATCGCCTGTGAAGGCCCCTGAGCTAACATGAACTGTGACAGCGCGTCCACAGTCAGCCCGCGTCTACGGATCCCTGCCGCAGTCGCATCAGAAACAGCCTTGTGCTCCACAAGAAGAACTAACCCCGAATGGTTGGGAAACGTGGGTCATCCCAACCCCCGACTATTCCGTTGTCCACAAACCAATGCAACTTTCGCTTGGACAAAAGTGTATAGATGAAACTTAGACGACTGCAGAGGTGTCAGTAGTTTTTAAATACAGATCCAAGAGAGAGATTGACCTGAAGTCCCAGATATCAACACCGCGCATGCCAAGAGCTTTGATCATCCACTGATATTGCGCATTTCGCTCGCGGTACTCGTTCGTTCTGAGGGCATGGCTAACTCCCTCAAGGGAGTCCACGATTGGGCACGCAAAGTCATAGGTGGGGTATATTTTCCATTTATCTCTGTAAGATGGATCAATATTCGGTGAAAATTTAAGTGGATGGTTCCATACCCAGTTCGGTGATGAGGGATTAAGTTACATCGGTAAATAACGGGGTCACGCATAGCTTTGTTCTGATTGTCCACGCTGATTTTCGCGCGGATGCACCATCTGACACCTTCTGGAGATCCTGTCTTCATCTCCTCAAAGTGCCTCAGATTGTCCTCGATCGAGTCATCCCGATGAGCAGATGCAACACCTTTGCCTCGTTCCTCGCGCATCTAATTTTTGGCCCTGTCGACATTTATGCATGATTCCTAAACTAAAGCTCCGCACCTGTAATTGCTCGGTATCATCGGCGTAAGCTTTACCACTCTTGATTATTTGAATGGCCAATTCATAAATCTGGTCAAAGTAATCTGATGTGTGGGTTATTTTATCCCCGCGGATGTTTAGGAGCTCCAAATCCTGCAAGATAGTCTCCTCGAACTCAGCCTAGGCAATTTACTGTAAGACTCCGTGTGTTTGTGAATAAAACAAGGGCCTTACCCGTTCTTTTGTGGGGTTGGTATCATCAAAACGAATGATCATCTTCCCATTGTACATTTTTGCGAAATACTGGTTCAGCATCGCAGCCTTTGCATGTCCGATGTGGAGGTAACCAGAAGGTTCAGGCGGGAAACGCGTGACGACCTGACCTTCCTTTGCATTTTGAAGGCCAAGAGCAAATCCTGCGGCTGTTTTATTCGATCTGGCTTTATTGGCTTTAGCTGCTGTAAGGCTCGCGAGCGCAGCTTGAATGGACTCGAGACTCTCGATGTGAGACATCCACCGAAGAAGATGAACATGCTGCTGCCCATTTTTGAGAAACCCAATAAATTTTGGTGCAACTGATGAATGTCAGACACGACGATATCAACGACTTGGCTGATCGCGCTA